AAAAAAAGTTGTATCTCTAGGCCAACCTCCCATTTTGCTGTGCTGGCTCCTTCCCACAAAGTGCTGATGAACACTGTACTTTCACCTGACTCTTATCCCCAGCAGAGGAGAAGGGAGTTTGGATGTGGCTCCCTGCTCCTCCCTGGCTGTCGGTGTGGGCCAGAAAATCTGCCAGAACTACTCAGCCCTGCTGTCATAGAGTAAAACTTCTCATAGATAGTAGGTAAACGAATGGATGTGGTCGCGTTCCAGTGAAATGTTAGTTACAAAGAGGCACCAGGCAGGATCTGGATCGTGATGTGAGATTACACAGCCTGGAACCCAAATCTGTGTCCTCAGCTCATCCTCTTTCTACCCTGCAGCACCCTCTTCCCACTCTTAGGAATTCTTTCTCTTACCTGTGATTTGGATGACTTTTGAGGGATATAAAACACGGTATCTTGGTAGTAAGCATCATGCATGAAAAATTCTCGCAGTCCAGAGAAGGCAACGGTGTTAACCTTCTTTCCACAGTGGAAACATCATTGTGGCGACTCCAGGCCGCTTGGAGGACATGTTCCGGAGGAAGGCCGAGGGGTTGGATTTGGCCAGCTGTGTGAAATCCCTGGACGTCCTGGTGTTGGATGAAGCTGACCGACTTTTGGACATGGGGTTTGAGGCGAGGTACTTGATTTTGGCCTTCATTGCTTTGGGCAGGAGAAGAAAGCAAAATTGAATTCCATCATTACTTCATGACTAAGTATTTTTATTTTTTAAGAAAACGTTTTTTCAAAAAAGCAATACATGCATATGATGAAAAGGACAAACAGTGCCTGACCCCCGTTCCCTTCTGCAGAAGAATTTTTTTGTTTTAGCGGTTTCTTTTTTTTTTAAATGTTGTATTTTTGGTGAAAGTATACACAGAAAAACAGGTTCCCATTCAACAGTTTCTGCACACATTGTTCAGCGACATTGGTTACATTCTTCCTATTGTGTCAACATTCTCATTATTTCTACTGTAATAGTTTCACTCCCATTAACTTCGTCTCAGTGCCCCCCACCCCCAGCCCCCGTCAGTGCTTTGGGGTAATGGTTGACCTTTGGGTCTCATACAGTCTGTTTTTTAAAAGAGTGTGTACTCAAGGCCACTGTTCTTTCCTTTTTCAGTTAGTCTGCTGTTTAGTTAAAAGGTGACTTCAGGCATAGTTGTGGTTCAAAGTTTAGAGTGTATCAGGACAATTGTCTCGGGGATTCCTCCAATCTCACAGGGCCCAGTAAGTGTGGGTTCTTTGAGAATTTGAACTTCTTTTTTTTTTTTTTGGAGCCTGTCGTTTGGTGCGTAAGTATTTATTACAGTTAGGTCTTCTTGGTGTATTGACTCTAATCAGTATAGAGTCTCCTTTCTTATCCTTTGTGGTGGATTTAACTTTATTTTTTTTTACTTTTTTGAGAATTTGAACTTCTAGAAGCAATTTTTTTAAAATAGTTTCTTATGTATACTTTAGAAGATGTTTTTAGTATGTATAAGAATATTTGTTAATTACACTAATATGTAATTAATATAGAATTTTATAAAGCAGATAGTAGCATATTATCTACACTGTTCTATGCCTTGTTTTTTTTTTCCACTTAACAGCTGTTGGAGGTCATTCTGTATTAGTGCACATACATCCACCTAATTTTTAAGAACTGGATGGTGTTGCATTATATGAATGTCCCCTTATTTATTTAGCCAGTTCCCTGTTGATGGATGTTAGCTTGTTTCCAGTCTTTTCCGTCCATAAACCATGCCGCAGTGACCATTCTTTCCCGTGTGTCTTTGTGCACATGTTTGAGAACATCCGTAGAATAAATTTCTAGAAATAGAATTGCTGTAGGGTCAGAGGGCATGTGGTTTTATAATTTTAATATTGTCAAGTTCTCTTCCAAAGGTGTGCCCGTTTATACTCCCGCCAACAGTGCACTTGTTTTCTTACACATTTGGCTTATGGTGCTATGGTTTTGATCGTTTCCTAAGTGTAAATTGATGAATTTACCTTTCTTTAATCTTCGAGATTCTTAAAGGGCATTTTTTCATGGTTTCTTAAAAAATGCTTTTTTTAAACAAAAATAAAACTATTGAGAAATAATCCATGTATCATACAGTTCAGCCATTTTAAAGGGTCCAGTTCAATAGTTTTTAGTCTCAAAAAGTTTTGATTTCACTCTTCTTTTAATGGTGCCCCATTATAAAATGTAATTCTATGATTATGTCATACAAACCTTGGAGAAATGAAGAAAAGTGTAAAGAAGAAAAGAAACGCTGCCTGTAAGCTTGCTTCCCATTGATGTTACTCGTGGCTTCCCGCCTAGTCTCTTAAATGTCTGTCTAGTGTCGTGAGAGGACCGTGGTGGTTCGGTGGTAGAGTTCTTGCCTGCTATGCGGGAGACCACCCGTCTGTCAGTGGAGGCTTGAAATCAGCCAGTGAAAACCCTCTGGCTCACAGTGGTGTTATCCCCGACTGACCACGGGAGTAGGCAGTGTTCCGTTCCGTTGTGCGTGGTGGGGTCACCGTGAATCGGAGGCTGACTCGACGGCAGCTCACAGCCAGCATCACAGGGTACTGCCTGCTGATGGTGCAGTCAGGTGAGGGCTGAGTGTGAGCCTTTTCCTTCCAGTATAAATACCATTCTGGAGTTCCTGCCAAAGCAGAGGAGAACGGGCCTATTCTCTGCCACTCAGACGCAGGAAGTGGAGAACCTGGTGCGAGCGGGCCTCCGGAATCCCGTCCGCATCTCGGTGAAGGAGAAGGGCGTGGCAGCCAGCAGTACCCAGAAAACGCCATCCCGCCTGGAGAACTACTACATGGTGAGCGCCTGGATTTCCTTCTTGACTGCTCCTGGAATTCAGTCAGATGATGAGTGTGGTAGGGACTCGCTCGCTGTGTTCTGGGAAAGCGAATCTAGGAAATGCTTATCCGTGGCACATTTTAAAATGCATTTGGGGACAGAGCCAGGGCAAATGGCATAGGTGGTCTAACTTGTTGCAGGAGTGAATAAGTTGATATTGGCACAAAGGACGGGTTCTCTGGACCTCCTGTCCCCCAGTTCTCGAACATTTTTAGCGTACATGCGTTGAGTGTGCTGGGTGCCAGACACAGTGAAACACCGCGGCCCCCAGGCCCAGCAGAGCGTGTTCCATCCTGAATCGCAGAGGGCATAGCCAGACGTGCAGGTGAAACAGTCAAGGAAAAGAATCGCTCTAAAGGAGACAGTGTCAGGTTAAAACGTTCTGCTCTGTAACACAATGGTTCTCTGTTTTGATCTGCGTCTGGGAATGGCTGATTTTATACCAGTAAGCCCTGCTGTTGTGTGCCATTGAATCAATTCCAACTCATAGCAACCCTGCAGGACAGAGGAGAACTGCCTCATAGAATTTCTGAGGCTGTAATCTTTAGGGAAGCAGATTGCAAGGTCTTTTCTCTCGCGGAGCTGCTGGGTAGGTTAGAACCGCTGACCCTTCGGTTAGCAGCCAAGTGTTTACCACTGTTCCACCAGGGTTCCTTCACCAGTAAGCCCTAGCTGCCGTAATAGCTTCCTCACCAGGCAATGGAAGGGCTCTTGGAAACAATTTTTAGTAGCGCAGCTGCTGCTGTTTCATTCTGCCCCATCACTGGAATGGCCAAGGGGCAGCAGAGAGTGTGGCCAGCTGAAGGGGACCCCACACCGGAGGTGGTGGCCTTGGGGACTGGAAGAGCCCACAGGCAGGTGTCGCTGCTTGACCAGGGCCATCTACATCGCTGACGGGGTGACAGGGCTTTCCTTTAGGCCTTGGGGGGCTCCTCAGCTCCTGCACGTGGCCACGTGTTTCCAGAGAAGTGGGTGGTTTGGCAGCTGGCATGTCCCTGTTGCTGTGCACCGTAAGGTCGACGAGGCGGCCGTCCTCTGTGTCACGTGGTGGGAAGATGGAGGGTAGAACAGGTCTGTAGATCAGAAACTGCCTCTGAGACAGCTGGCTGGAGCTGGCGCTTCAGATCCGACAGGCTCCTCGGAAGTGGGAGGGGTGCCATCGCTGACGGCTCCGACCAAGGCTGAAGGGAGCAGCCAGGCTCACAGCTGGGCTCTGTCCCTGACTAGTTGGCCTGGGTGCCGTCACCTGTGAAATAGCTGACAGTGGTGCCAACCGCACAGTGTTGTGGTGAGGACTGATTCGTTAGTCCACAGAAAGGCCTAGGACGGGACGTCGTACTTAGTGCTAACGGACGTTGGCTTGACACGCTCACGGTGGCTGCTGTTGGGCTGTGCTGGGCTGCGTTCATGGAAGTGAGTTGTGTGAGTACCTGAGAGGAAATTCCAAACTGAGCATTGGGTTTCGGTGAAAATGGGAAATGAATTCAGATGAATCTAATGTTTCCATTTGAGGGCTTTTGTAGACCACTTGATTGTGTTATCAGTAGATACTGGGGTCTGTCTCCATGGAGGTCTTTCAGATGATTATGCCCGTTCCTCCCTGGAATCCTTGCCTTGGAGCAGTGATGTCTGAACTCGGCCATGAATCAGAATCTCCCAGGGAGCCCTTAATAATATGGATTGTGGGGTCCAATCCTAGAGCTGCTGAGGCAGTCTCTGCATGCTGCCTGAGAATCTGCATTTTAAAAATTTATCCTGAACATGCTTGTACACCAGTATTCATTGCGGCAGTATTCACAGTAGCTGAAGGGCAGAAACAACCCAAATATCTGTCAGCAGATGACTGAACAAATGAAATGCAGTACGTACATCCAAGGGAATATTGTTCATAAAGAGAAATGAAGTTCTGATACACGCTGTCATATAAAGGAACCTTGAAAATACTATGCTAAGTGAAATAAGCCAGCATCAAGAGGACAAATATTGCATGATTTCACATATATGCAATACGTAGAACAGGTGAATGCATAGAGATGAAAGTTTTTCACTGGTTTCCAGGGGCTGTGAGGAGGGGCAAATGGGGGGTTACTCTTTAAAGGGTCACTGGGTTTCTGTTTGGGATGAGGAAGACTTTTGGGAATGGTGAGTGGTGACAGTTGCACAACATGGTGACTGCGATTAATGTCACTGAAGTGTATGCTTAAGAGTGGTCGGAAAGGCAGTTTTTGGGTGACACATATTTTACCATGATAAAAAAAAATCTACCCTGGAGATTGATTGTGTTATGGCCAGGACAGTGTGTGTCTGAACTATTTATTAAACGACTGTGTTTCTCTCAGTTGTGTGATGTTCGTGACTTCGAATGAACTTTAACAGGCAACAGCGCATGTTGCCATTTGTTCTGAGCCAGGTAGAGCTGGACTAATGTTTGGCTGAAGTCTGTCCTATCTGAGGAAGAAATAAGATTCCTTAGAAATTAAGGCTGAAACTGAAAATAGCTATAGGGATTGTTATCAATATGTATGTTTTTATTTTATTAGTTGTCCTCTTATTTTGTAGGTGTGTAAGGCAGATGAGAAATTTAACCAGCTGGTGCATTTTCTTCGAAATCATAAGCAGGAAAAACACCTGGTCTTCTTCAGGTAACCCTGGACCCCAGGAGGGGAGTCAGGGATTCAGCTGGATGCGTGGGGCCCTTGTGCTTGGAATTCTGTCAGTCAGGAATGCCTTTTGCTGCAGATAACAGAAAGCTCAACCTCTGGGGCTTAGTCCCAGCCACTTACTGTCGAGCTGACTCTGGCGCACAGCGCCCCCACGTGTGTCAGAGTAGAACTGCGCTCCACAGGGTTTTCAGCGGCTGATTTTCAGAAATGGCTCTCCAGGCTTTTCTTTTGAGGTACCTCTGAGTGGACTCGAGCCTCCAGCCTTTCAGTTAGCAGTGAAGTGTGTTAACCGTTTAAACAGGAGGCTATATCCTCCCTGTTAAAAGTCCAGCGGTGGGCAGTCCCTGGCGTTGATTACGGCCCAGTAGTGTCAGGGTCGGTGTTTCTGCGATCGTCTTGGCCTTTCCCTCCTGTTTGTCGCTGCAGTTTTAAGATGACCACTGTAACGCCCGTCACGCCCGCATTGGAGGCTCAGGTAAGGGAGGAAAGGCAGAGGGAACGGGGAAAGCAAGGTGAGCTGTCTGCTCCTTTCCATCAGAAAAGCAAAAAGCATCCTCAGAAACCCCTCCTCGGCCAACTTCAGCTTTCATATGTGGGCCGAAAGTGGTCACATGGCCACCCCTGACTCAGAGCGGGATGGAGGACATGAGCGTGTAGCTTTTCCAGCCCGTGTGGTGGAGGGAGGCGAAGGGGGAAATGACTGGGGTGGTGTCTGGACAGTCACTTCCTCCCGTTGTCTGTTGTCACAGTGCGAGAAGGGAACAGATGTGTGTGCTCTTTGGGCTGGTTTTGTGTGGTTTTCTTGTTTTCTCCTCCAAGTGTAGCTGTGGTTTTGCTTTTTGGCAATCCCAAAAGAATTTTGTGTTTCTTTTCCATTTCATTCTACCAGTAGAATGCATTAGCTGTATTGACTCTGTGACCCATAGTGAGAAACACCACCTGGTACACACACACACACACACACACACACACACACACACTCTCTGCACAGACACCATGCACACACACACACACTCTACACAGACACCATGCACACACACAAACCACACAGCACAGACACCATGCACACACACACACACACACACACCATGCACACACACACATGCACACATGAAACAGAAACAAAGCCCTCACGAACTGTAGGCTCTGTTAGGTAGGATGCGTTCTGTTGTCTTCTACTCTGTTTTTTAAAAATGCTGGTCAAGTCCCACTAAATTTCAAGGCCCACCAGATTGCTTTCAGATCTGTGAGTTTTGACCCTCCGTGTGTAAGACACCGCCTTATTACATACTGATGTGACTTGTGGTGGAGATCAGTGAAGACTCTGGCTGTAACCACTTAGTACTAACCTAACCCGTTGCTGTCAAGTCGATCCATACTGATAGCGACTCTATAGGACAGAGTAGAAGTGCCCCATATGGTTTCCAAGTTCGAATTGCTGACCTTTTGGTTAGTAGATGAGCTCTTAACTACTGCACCATCACTTAGTACAGGAGGAGACACTGAGGTGGACAGGGCTTAGCCCATATTGTCAGCCTGCAGCCTGGCCTAGTGGGAAGAACACTGGACTAGGATCAAACTCCGGTTCTGGATCTGACTGTGTCACTACTAACATTGTCTCTCTGTAAGCCTCAGTTTCCTTCTGTGCAAAATGGGGCTAATACTTATCTCCCAGACTTATGATAAGGATGTGAAATCACTTTGGAATCCCTCCAGTTAAAAGAAGAGGGGTGGGGGCGAACTTGATTAGAAGGATGCTGGGTAAGAAGCTCACAGACTCGGAGAAAAAGTTGAGCACCCAGCCCCGAGGGAAGATGAGTCCCAAGCTCCGTGGCAGAAATTTGTGACCACCCCTTTAGGGTACCTCCTTACTGGGATGGCCCTGCCCCAGCTCCCTTTTGTCCTTGAGTCCAGGTGTCTGGGAGGGAGACTCTGATGGGTCTAGCTTGGGATATTTGCTGACTCCTTGGGAATCCCACTAATTGGGGAAAAAGCAGCTCCCCAAAGGAAAAGCAGGAACATTTGGGAATCTTTATAAAGACTGAAATCTTTATAAGATTTGTAGTTTAGGTGAAAGTTTACAGAGTAAGTTAGTTTCCCAATCAACAGTTTATACTCAGCTTGTTTGGTGACATAGGTTGCAAACCCCTGAATGTGTCAGCACTCTCCCTGCTTCCTCCCTGGGTTCCTTGAATCCATTTGCCCACTTTCTTTCCCCTGCCTTCCTTCTGAACTTCACTTTTAGGCAAACGGTGCCCTTTTGGTCTCGTAGAGTTGATTGCTGTGAGGTGTCCATTCCTCACTGGTGTTATTGTTCATTTTGTAGGCCTGCCTACTGTATGGTTATAATGGGATCTCTGGGAGTGATTGCATTTCCAAGTGTGAAGGGTGTCTAAGGGCCATAGTGTCGGGGGTTTCACCAGTCTCGATCAGACCAGTAAGTCTGGTCTTAATTATGAGTTTGAATTTTGTTCTACATTTTTCTCCCACTCTGTCCATAACCTAATATTGTGGTCCTGGTCAGAGTAGTTGGTAATGGTAGCTGGGCACCATCTAGTTCTTCTGGTCTCAGGCTAGTGGAGGCCATGGTTCGTGTGATCCGTTAGTCCTTTGGACTAATTGTTTCCTTAAGTCTTTGGTTTTCTTCACTCTTCTTTGCTCTGGATGGGAAGAAACCAATTGTTGTATCTTAGATGGCTGCTTACATTCTGCGTGGGAGAACTGGGTTCAACTCCTGGCCAATGCACTTCATGCACAGCCACCACCCATCTGTCAGTAGAGGCTTATGTGTTGCTGTGATGTTGAACAGGTTTCAGTGGAGCTTCCATCCTAAGATGGACTAGGAAGAAAGGCCTGGTGATCTACTTCTGAAAATCAGCCTGTAAAACCCCTATGGATCACAAGGGTCCAATCCCATTGGGCATGGGGTTGCCATGAGTCGGGGGCCCGTGTGACAGCAGCCAGTGACACCACCACTGCATCTATTACTCGACACTCCTTCCCCCAAGGGAGGAAGGGCCAAGGTGGCCAGTGACTCTAAGGCTCCTCCCACTTTTGCAGCACCTGCGCCTGTGTGGAATACTACGGGAAGGCTCTGGAGGCCTTGGTGAAGCGTGTGACGATACTGTGCATTCACGGAAAGATGAAGTACAAGCGCAACAAGATCTTCATGGAGTTCCGCAAATTGCAAAAGTGAGTTAGCTCAGGGGGAGACAGTAGATTCCCAACTGAGACATGCTTTTCCAGGACCCCAAACGCACTGCGTTTTCCCTCTGTCTGCTCTCCCTTCGCAGATGTTGTTCTCCCTGCCTGGAACCTCTTCTCTAGCCCACTTATCAGATCTTCTGATACAAACGCCCAGAGCCTCCGTTCTTTGTCCTGACCCCTTACGCTCAGCTATAATTAATTCCTTAGTTAGCGGGCTTCCCTGCTGGATCGTAAGCCCTCTAAGGACAGGAACTTTGTGTATTGTGTTCACTCCTGGAATCCCTAGTATCTTGCCCAGTGCCTGGCCCGGTGGGGGCTTTGATAACTGTTTGTTGCATGAATAGAGCAGAATTGAAGCCATCCATTAGTCTTGTTGGGATGGAAACTTTCTGTAGGCGGTTAGGCCGGAGACGACACGAGGGAACCTTTGGTCTCTTAGTGACTGTAGCTCGTTTCTGTTTGTGCATATAAGTGATCGTTTTCCATTTTTCTTAATCACTGACGGTACATTAAAAGCGCTCTTTTGGACAAAGTGATAACAGTTTACTGTCGTGTAACTACCTCAGTCAGGGGAGGAAGTTTTCTCTTGTTTTTTTAAATGGCTACAAAGGATTAGACCCCACTATGGTTATGTGTTTTTTTTTCCCCAAATGGAAATACGCTCATTAAGCAATCCTTTCACAGTCTTTCCCCACGTTTTCACTGGGACTTTGTTATGTACATGGATTCAGTGCTTTAAAGTCCTTGGCCAGGTTTGTAAAACCCTGGAAGTAGAAAATGTCCTTAGTAACTCTTCAGTTCTGAGCGACTCCAGAACCTGTGAGTCAGGGTCGTCACTGTCCAGATCAATAAGGACAGTGTGATGATGGTGAAGATGGTGACCTCCTGCTCAGAATGGCGTTTTCTCATTTTCTAGCGGCATTTTAGTGTGCACTGATGTGATGGCCCGCGGAATCGATATTCCTGAAGTCAACTGGGTTTTGCAGTACGACCCTCCCAGCAATGCAAGGTACAGGGTGATGAAGTGTTACCCTCTCTGCCGGGGAATCTGACCTACAGAAATGGGAGTCCTGAGGAAGGTAGACATAGAATGATGCTCATCAAAATGTTAATTATTTTTAGCAACAAAAATAGGCAAATGGGTGAATAACCTTTGGTATATCTCTATTGATACCATATGCAACAATTAAGATATTTTCAAATACTTTTAGATATTTTTTAAGTTCTTGAAGGAATGTATATAGTAGAGTATTTAAATGAAAAAAGCAATATATAACACCATGTATGAAAATTTCAATTATTCTCTCCAGAAGTGGGCATATATTCCTAATACATGCTTTTAAATATAGGAAAATGCCTGTAAATACAAACCTTCAAGTGATAACAATGGTTCTTTCTGGGTGGTGGGCTTTCAGGTTTTTTTTTTTAATACTTTTCCTTGTTTCCCCCATTTCCTACTAGGAACATACCCTACCTGTATGATCAGCTAGAAGGGGATACATTTAAAAGTTGACATTAGACGTCTCTTAGAGAATCACATCTTGTTTGCAGCATACACGTAATTGCCAACTCCTTTAAGACTAGTGAGGGGCCCGGGTCGGGGACTGAGCTGTGGGGAGTCTGGTGGCTCCTCCCTCATTTAGATATGTCAGCTGTGCTGCTGAGGCCTGTGCCCACTCAGCCATCATGACATGTGACTGGTGACCGCGCCCCACCATGTGTCCACAGTGCCTTCGTGCATCGCTGCGGCCGCACTGCCCGCATTGGCCATGGAGGCAGCGCACTGGTGTTCCTCCTTCCCATGGAAGAGTCCTACGTCAAATTCCTTGCAATTAACCAAAAGGTATGCTGTCTTCTTTTCTGATACAGTGCCCAGGGACAGGGTAGCTGAGAAAGTTCTAGTAAGTGGTTAGAAACTTGGGTTAGGGGTGGCAGGCTTACTGAGGCTAGCTGATGATATAAATGTGTGCACCGGGTCGGGTCTGAGGCTCTGAGGCAAAGCTCCATCCAGGGTGGTGGCCATGGCTCAGCCTAGCTGAGGGTCAGTGCCTGGGCCCATGGACCCAATGATGCCATACTCAGCTACCAGAAATGTGAGCTGTGATTTTAAAATTTTCTTTAAAAAAATTTCAAAATAATTTATGGACTAGGTGAATAACTTGGGTTGGATTTGAGCTTCAGGCCTTTGGCTTTATGGGTGAGTGAGCATTGCGTGCGGGGTGATTCTAGCCTGGGACAGTGAGCTTGTGGGCTCTGTAGTGCCCCCTGCAGGAGATGAGGCTGCAGAAAAACACAGCGGACCTTCTTCCAGAGCTGAAGGCCATGGCCCTGGCTGACAGAGCTGTGTTTGAAAAGGGGATGAAAGCTTTTGTGTCGTACGTCCAGGCCTACGTGAAGCACGAGTGCAACCTCATCTTCAGGCTCAAAGGTGAGCTGCAGGGAAATTTCCTTCACATGAGTGTCTCCACCTTAAATACCGATCTATATATATTACCACATGTAATGTTGTAGTCTTACAAATATTTGAACTTGGAAATTTGTCCTACAAAAATGTTAGGCCTGAGTTTTATGTTATGTGAATTTCACCTCAATTTGGAAAACGTTAGGCATGTGTCAGGGTTCATGTTTTCTAAACACTTAAAAGGAATTGTTTGTAGACTTTAAGCAGACACAATAAACTGGCCACTGGTTGCTGAGTATTCCTGTTGACCTTGCAAAAAGGCAATTATTTTATTAATTCTGACTGAAATAAATCCATTAAATCCTTTAGTTAGAACAGTCATATGGTGAGGAATCTTCCAGTGTTGATTCCTAGTGTGGTAGTTTGGAGGTGCTAACTGATATTTTGGTTTCATCAGATCTGGATTTTGCTAGTCTTGCTCGAGGTTTTGCCCTGCTGAAGATGCCCAAGATGCCAGAGCTGAAAGGGAAGCAGTTTCCAGATTTTGTGCCTGTGGATGTTAATACAGACACGATTCCATTTAAAGACAAAGTCAGAGAAAAGCAGAGGCAGAAGGTACTGGAGCAAAAAAGAAAAGAGAGAACAGAAAACGAAGGGAGAAGAAAGTTCATAAAAAACAAAGCTTGGTCCAAGCAGAAGGCCAAAAGGGAAAAGAAGAAAAAAATGAATGAAAAAAGGAAAAGGGAAGAGGTAACATTTAGTTTTCCTTATTAAGTATTCAATGTGTGGAATCCTGAACAATCTGTTTATGAATTGATGTAATAGAATCTTTTATAGGAATTATGTGGGGGATTATACTGGGCCGTCACATTCTGTATTAAGTTGCTAGCTGGGGTGGGGAACTTGCTGTCTTTGTGGCAGGCTAACCTGAGAGCAAATAATTTCTGATAAAAAGTTGCTGATTTTACTTACAACACGATTTCTGAGAAATTCAGGAGTTTGTTGGTGTTTTTGCACTTAGGGTTCTGATATCGAAGATGAGGACATGGAGGAACTTCTTAATGATACAAGACTCTTAAAAAAGTTTAAAAAGGGCAAAATCACTGAAGAAGAATTTGAGAAGGGTTTGTTGACAAGTGGCAGAAGGACAATCAAGACAGATTTCAGGATCTCAGATTTGGAAAATGACTGCTGATCCTAGCGTCTCTGGTGTACTGCGTGAGCGGACAGGGACGTGCGGGGAACGCGGCGACCAGGCTCGGCGCACGGCTCACGGCTGCCCTCACTGCAGACCACGGCCTCAACAGATAGCCACGCTGAGTAATCACGTCTCCGAAAGCCGTCGTTCAGTCCGGGGAGAAATGAGAGGGATTTTATACTCGGGAATATTTTACGAGAAAACATACCAGTCTTGAAAAAAGTCTAATGGAAGAAAGCCTAAGACTACTTGAGTGTAAATAATAGACGCCAGTATTTATTTTGATGGGTCACCTACAGTTAAAGAGCTCGTATTTCTGTGGCAATTTTTCACATATTTTTAAAATACCTAAAATGTAGTTGATTTTAGCCTTTTTTTGTTCCTTAGTATATCCAGAGCCCTGGCATCCCTGGGGGTGTTTTCTAACCCTGGGGCTTGGGTTCTCTCTTGGATGTGTGCACAGAGCCCCTGCGGAGGGTGCGGACATTGCTGGGTGTTTCCTAAGGATAGTACCCGGTACTGCTGTAGTGGCGAATATCTGCAAAATCGAGGAAGCAAGTCATATTCTGAGAAAGAAAACACACCTTATTGTGCCGTCTGGGATAAATGACAGATCTCTCTAATTGACTGTCTCAAGTGTGTGAATGTGGTTGCATGGTGCTGTCACCAAGACGGCCTGCTCAGTACTGATGCAACAGCATATCACAATCTTTCGTATAATTTGAAAAGATGCTGCATTTATTCCCAAGTACAATTTTTAAAAGCTGTTCAGGACCCAAACGTGTTTAAAGGAAATTCGTGTCTCTCACAGATACAGAATTTGACTTCACAGACATTCCCGAAGGCACCCCTGTAAGTCGGGAGTCACGAAGGGTTGCTACTGCTTGAGGGCCTGTCGGCTTCCCGCGTATTTTCCTGGTACAGTGTCCACTCGTCTGGCTTGATCTCGGAGAGGTGATGGCAGCCCATGGCCTGCGTTCACCACCATGAGTCTGATGTAAATTCACCAAGTGTTTTTTGCCTTCCTATAAGGCACCGTACATAACTCGTGTCCTGGCCGGCTCGTAGGCATGTAGTGAAGAGTGCCTGGCTGTAGTCAGGAACGCTGCTTTTAGGCCTTTATGTCGTTTATGGATGCTTTTGGCCAATCAGTCTGGCGTGCAGGGGACGATGAGGGGAGGTGGACTTGGGCACGTCCTCTCTTGCCAATTTGTCAAGCAGCCGATAACTAACGTATTTCTGGGAACGGAGAATGAGTGAAGTCTCTAGAAAACTCAAGTGAAATTTAGGTTGGGTCTTAGGAGAACCATGAAAACACTTTAGATGGGACTGAAACGAGTAAAAAAGATTTATGATTTTAAATTCTTAGTCCGTAGATCTCCATAAAAAAATTCTGTTTGGCCTGGCTCACGAGGGGTCAAGAGGCTAGTCACCCTGCCCCAGCTACAGAAACGGTCCCAAGGCACAGAAGGCTGCAGTGGTCATAGATAGAGCTTGATGAGTTCGTCGCTGACTGCTGAGGGGGTGAGGACGCCCAGGTCTGTGAAAAGTAGTGTGATTAAGGACGGGGGGGTGTAGTCAACCCAGGGATGTTCCTCCTTGAGGTCTTGGCCAGTCTGTGCAGACCTCAGCGTGTCTGCCTTATACTGAGGGAGAGGAAAGCAGGTGTTAGCTGTGCCGCACGTTTAGGGCTCTGGACGGGTGAGGTAGCTGAACGGTTAGTGCACTCCTCCTGGAAAGTGCTCTCAGAAAATGGGGAGGAGGCAGCTGAACAGCATAGAGCCGAGGAGGGCCAGGTGCTGCTGGGGTCACGGCATGCTGCCCAGGGGCCTGAGTGGAATGGAAATCCCAAACCACCTCTCCCCTTCCATCCTGTGCTGGATGAACTCCCTCAGCCTCTCAAGAGAACACTGTTACAGAGATTACCACGTGGGAGGCACTGTGCTAAGCTCTTCCCTTGGATTGTCTCCTACAATCCTCATTACCTTGTCAGATACAGTTAACCTGTTTCACAGATCAGGAAACTGAAGTTCAGGGAGGCTGAAAGACCTGCCCAAGACCACATGGAAGGACGTGGTAGAGATGGGAGGTGAACCCAGACAGTTTGGTTCCAAAGCTTGGACTCTAACCGCTAGCTCTCCCCGCCTCCTTTCAGCACATGTATCAAGCTGCTTAAGTAAATGAGAAACCAGTGGACTAAAATTTTGGGAACAAATGTGTGAGTCTTAAGTTCCACAGCTGCTAATTTATCTTTCTATCCCAAGTACTGGAGAAAACTGCAAAACTCTTAGCACTGTATTTTTTCAAAGGTTTCAGTCTCAACTCAAATACCCCTTCAGATAGTGTAAAACACTTGCCTTAAACTTATCTGGGACGTCTTGCTGGTTGAGTGGGAAGAGCCGAACAAACTTGAAACTTTCTGCAACCACATAAAAAGGCTTATTCTGTGCTTTGGCGCACACAGCCGTCTGGTTGGTTCCAATCTGGGAAGTCAGAGCAAATGGAAGAGGATGAGTCCTGTACGTCTGAAGGGGAAGTAACAGACAACGTGTGAATGAACACGATATACACCTAATTCTGGCTCTGGAATCAAACGGGACCTTTTAAAAAACTAACCTTTCACGAAACCTTTCCAAGTCAGGTGATGGATAGAGAAATTGTAGTAAGATATGTTCAGGTCAAATATGCCCAATTTAAACAAAACAAAACAAAACAAAACAAAACAAAACTGAAGCCTGTTTTGAGTAAATACAAATTACATTCTCTTAATTTTCATGGACCAATCACCAAAGCAGAAGGAAATTTGACCAAAATAACGTTTCTCTTGATGGACCACTGCAACGGCTTATAGGAACTAGGGAACAACTCAGTACAGTGATGAAGTCCTGAAGCTGAGCAGGATCAGGGGACGGACTGTGCTGTTAGTATATATTCCTGTGTCAGTGGCCTACTCAGCAATGCATCTCCATGCCTTGTCCAAGAATTGTGAAGTGATGCTCCTACCTTGTTAATAATTCCTCCGTTTTCAACAACTCCTTCGGCACCAACTATGACAAGATCTGCTTTTTCCATGATATAGCTAAGGAAATTAAAAAAAAAAAAAGGTTATGTTCTTTTTTTCCTGGCTCGTTAATAGCACTATCATCTGCAAAGATCAATGTTCTGTTTTCATCATGGTAAGTTCTTCCCATAACCACCTTTGTTCCAAAGAGCACTGAGCACCAGAGACCATCCACCATTGGCATCTAGTCCTGTTACTAGAGCCTTTAAGGCTTTCTTTGATCACGACCCCACAATAAGACACAATTTACACCACCTTGCAGTACATACACACACACGTACGTGTGTAACTGAAGCAAGAGTTTCACGATACAGTATTTGGCCTTGCTAGGTGTGATGCATTCTGTTTTCCACTTATTACAGACAACTCAAAAATTAAAAATTCTGCTGTGGTCTGAAGTTAGTGTGTGTTATGCAATTTGAGTTTTTCTGGTAGGGCAGAGGCAAATTTACCTTTTAAAATGAACAATCAGTGGAATTCCTCAAAATATGTACTCTGAAACACCTTCCTAATTTCCCTCGTCATCTGTATCCTGTCTTTTCTTTCCGAGAGATTATGACTCCCGTTTTCTCTTGTGAGGTCACTGGCCATCCAGGGATGGGCTGACCTTGGTCTCAGGAGAGAAGCTGCCTGGGTGAATAAATGATCCCGGTGTGCCACTGAGGCCACTCCGTGTTTGAGGATGTGAAGAAAGCACTAATTAGGTTCTGACCCTAACCAGCCTTTACATCTTGCTCTTAAAATGCACGAGCCGCTTTATCCATAATATTACATCTGCCACTCCCATTCCCCTCAACTCCTGCAGCCCCCTTTCCTGCGTGCATTATCAAGGCCTAACTTAACAACGAGCTTGCTACCTTAATGTAGCTACTTAATTAAGAGGTGGGATGTGACCTGTGCAGTTTTGTGAGTGGGATGCAAACTTTCAATCTGAAAACTCTGCTCTGAGCCAACCTGGGGGTGAAGAAAGATGAATGAAGCCGGGAAAGATTGTTGCTTACCCAATAGCAGCATCCAGGACCACGGTGACAGGGACGTTGAGGTGGCAGAGAGCTTTGGCCATTTTCTTACTGAAGATGACATTTTGAGAGCATTAGAGAAAGTCATAGAAGGCCCCATAGTGATGTCTGATGAGTCACTTAACTTGGAGAGTGATAAATCACATCAGGTTGAAACTCAGTTAACGATGGGGTAAGGGGCAAGTCGCAAGACGCTGGACTAAGGAAACTCGGGTTCTTCAGGGGGAAGTATGTATTTCAGGAAAACGGTATTCTTGGGGACTCTAGGTAAGATACAAATTCAGGATAAAGGGGAAAGTTTTGCTTCTATCCTGAGTCCGTAGAGATGTGAATTACCTAACCCTTAAAGAAAACAATCTTTCAGTCACTTTCTTTCTGTTTCTCAGATTCAACTACTTAAAACATACAAACTCTAGATCCTTTACTACAAACAAGTTCACAGTGATTTTTCTTCCTGGGGCAGGAAAGGGCACAAAGGCAATGCTGGCTGACTGGCAAATGGGAGCCACTTTCTTGCTCCTCTTACGATGGATTCTGATCCTCAGTTTGCTCTTGAAAGTGACTGCTGGGCACATAACCGAATGGAAAGATACTTGCCCCGACAGATCCGGCTGCGACTCTGTAACGTACACACTGAAACGCTTCTTGGCCCTGACAGCTGCTTCCAGGACTCTGAGGACCACCCTGGAGTAGGCATGAGTTAATATCCTCTGTGGACAGAGAGAGCTGTGTCAGACGGCAGCTTACCGGTGCTCACCCACGCTGTCCACCATGGTGACGCTCGCTCCTGGGAACCTAAGGCTTCGTCAGAAAGGAGCTCCCTAGAGTGCACCGAGGGTCAAGGCCACAGACAAGCTGAAAAAGGATTCTGCCAGAGGGATGTATTAGGGTCTCCCCTTCCCTCAGCAGGTGCACAAGCGGAACTCCCATGCAGCGC